GTTGCCGCCCCTCCCCCGGCCGCGCTCCGGGCCAGGCTGGGCGCCGAGCCCGCGCGCTCGCGCTGGGGACTGAAGCCCGGGCCGGGTGGGGGCCGCCGGGCCTGGGGAGGATTGAGCAGGCCGGGCGTCGCGTTCGCAGTCACTGCGTACACTAGCCCGAAGCGCGCGACCCCGGGTGCAGAGCAGGGACGCGGTCACGCGGGCCCCACTGGGGGAAGAGCACAGAAAAGTCCTAGAGGAGGCAGCAGGGTAGCGGTTGAGGTTTCTGCTTCCCCAGGGGTCAGATCCTCAGAGGGACCGGGTCAGTTTGATAGTCCAAGTCCGCCTTCTTGCCGCCTTTCGTTCTAGCTCATTTCCCCATTGTCTTCTCTGAGATCTTGTTTGCAAGAGAAAAATCTTAGCGAGAAGGTCAGGTTTGGTTAGGAGAATGTCCTGTGGATGTGTTTGGACTCCTTTTTACAACAGCCCCCATTTTTATGACTCCTCAATAAAGCTCGTTTTTGTTTGTTTCTCCCTCATACGAAGAGGGAGTGAAAACTGTAAAACTGAGTAACTGTAATTAACCGAGGGAGTGACCGGTGAGGGAAGGCAGCTGTTACCCCAGAAAGCAAAGTTATTTCACACATTTCTGTGAGGTTGTTTGAATTATGAGCACTATAGGTAGTTGATACGAAGGTAGAAACCCCACTAATTAGGTTACTGAAATAATATAGTAAAATAGACGTCATGACAATTTCAGTTGTTGGGTGGACTTTCAAGTAAAGAGTTAGAGGAATAAAAGCCAGGTGTGATGTGCATCCGTGTCATCCCAGAACTCTAGAGGCTGAAGGAATGGTTGTCTCAGAGACCAGCCCGGGCTACATAGCGTACCTGGTGGACAAAACCAAGACTCTATCTCAAAAGACTGGAAAGGGTGGGGGAGAAATGGAAAACAAAGGTTGGAGGATTAAAAACTGGAGAAAAACTTTATGATCAAATGATAGTTTCAAATAATGTCCTAAGGTAATAAGAATATTTTGAAGTACTATTTTACAAGTTTAAATGTCTGTGGTTTTATAAAAGTAAGCTACTAAAGTTGAAATACACATGCACTTTCTTAGAGGTGTGCTCACTCGGTCAAGTGTCTGTTGAATGCATGTTTTGTGCAAGTCATTGAGTTGAGGGGAATTCAGTTAAGGTATGAAACGTCTCATAGACTATGCCGTATGGTTGTAGGAATGAAGCACACTTCACTATAACTGACCTTGCATCCTGGAGAATGCCAAGACAGTAGGTGCTGGGAGAAAGCTGGGAGAGGAGCCGGGAGTATGGGAGCTGGGAGTATGTTTAAGGAAGATTTCACAAAGTTTTGAGTTGGGCTACAGAGAGTTTGGGAAGACTGGCTGGAGAGGTGAGCTGATGGAAGCGAAGAGATGGCAGGGGAGCGCTTGAAGTACATATGGGTGGTTCCTGG